ACATGCAGGTGTGATGTTCTTACACACATGCAGGTGTGATGTTCTTACACACAGAGACTGTAGAGACCCTTGAGAACTAGAAATGAGTTCAGTAAAGTTGCAGACTGTAAAATCACTAACAACAGACTTTATGGAAATCATCTCATTTTATAGTAGCATTAAAAATAGTACATTTAACCAAAGATGAGTGAACAAAGAAAATGTATAGATGTACAATGGAATGGAATGTTATTCAGCCTTGAAGAAGGAAATTTAGTCATTTGAGGTAGCATTGATAAACTTGGGGGACATGCTAAGTGAAATAAGGCAGACAGAGACAGACAAATATAGATAGAAATTTCTCCAGTCCTCCTTTGCCCAGCAGTTCGGACAAATCTCTCAGTCCCACAGCCACTTATAAAATAATCACTCAGGTGCTTAATATTAATTACAAACTGTATGGCCTATGGCTCAAGCTTCTTGCTAGCTAGCTCTTATAACTTAACTCAACCCTTTTCTATTAATCTATGTATTGTCACGTGTTTTGTGGCTTTACCTTTGTGCTATTACATGTTTCTCCTTGGTCAGTGGTCTGGCCTCTCTTCCCCTCTCCTTTCTTCTCCACTATGCAGGATTTTCCTGCCTGGCTCCATCCTGCCCTGCCATAGGCTAATGCAGCTTTATTTATTATCCAACGGGAGCCACACGTATTCACAACATACAGATAGATAGCCCATAGCAGACAAATACTGCTTGAAATATATGGATGCTAAGAAAGTGGGTCTCTTAAGAAGCAGAAAATAGAATGTTGGTAATTGGAGAGGATCTTAGAGAGGTACTGATTAATGGTCCCAAGTTTCAGTTGCAGCTTGGGTAAACACTGGAGGCCTCACCTCCATATGGTGACTGGAATTTGATAATTCTGTATCTTGTACTTAAAATATGCTTGGAAAACTGATCTTAAATGTTTTCAGTATACAAAGAGCTAACAAATGGTAACTGGCAGATTAATGGTAGTTATTTTACATAGAGCTTGTATAAAAGAACACCATGTTGTATATCCTAACTATGTGCAGTTCTAAATATTCCTAGTAAAACCAGGGAGACGAGCCTGCAGCTCTTGTTTGTGTGCTGTGTACTCACTTGCTTTTGTACACATTGTCTGTACAAGTCTTGTTCTGAAACAGACTTAGAGTAATCAGTAACGGTTCATAGACTAAATCAAGGTCTGTTGACCTAGAATTTGTTGAAAAAATGAGCAGTAGAGTTATCAGGGTGAGTAGGGTAAAAATGAGTGTTTATAAGATAAATGGCAGGAAAATGTGCATGCTGTGTGGGAGTGTTGGTCACATGGTGTTTGTTGCCAGAGAAGGGTCACAGATTTGGCTCCTCAGTTTCCTGTAAATGCAGGGTTAGTAATCCATTGGTGTTCATTCCTGCCTATTAGAATTTTCCCTTGCAGAGTCTTTAGGAGAACAAATTCTTCTGGAAGTCTTCCTTGTCCTTCTTTCATCCATAGCCTGTCATTTATAGTTTATTTCTTGATTAATAAATAATAAAGATATTTGAATTGAAAGTAAAAACCTCATTAAAAGTCTTGGGAAATTAAAACAAATGATTGCTGAGGAAAAACATGACCTTTTTACTGCCAATCAGAAATATTTTCTGTGACAGTTAATAAAGAACAGCTAGTGACTGGGGTCTTCAGCTGTGTTTTAGAACAGATGTGCTGGTCAGGTCAGTTTCATGCAACTCTTTCAGCAGCTCTTCTAGCTTCTTTGGATTGGGATTTAAACAATGTGAAACACATATCAAAATAGTCCTGGGTAACCTAGTTTATGCAGGGACTGAGTTTTACCCAAAAGTGGTAGTATAGACTTCATAATGGTCTGAGTAATTGCTTCAAGTGTATGGGGCATCAGTGAGTTTAGGATATTTTCCCATTGTAACTTGAGTGACAGTTCTGACTTACCTTTCCTTGGACTTTCCTAAGGTGGAGCTGCGGAGTGCGGTGGAGGAAGTGGTTAAGGAGACCCCGGAATATCGCTGCATGCAGTCACAGTTCTCTGTCCTGTACAATGAGAGTCTACAGTTGAAAGCCCACTTGGATGAGGCTCGGACTCTGCTTCATGGCACCCGGGGAACTCACCAACGCCAGGTCGAGCTCATTGAG